TCCTTTGGCTTGAGTTGCATCCTCAACATATAATTTATATTTTTGTAGGTCACTTTTTTCTCGATTATACGATTTTTATCTCCAATATTATACGATTCAAGTGAAAAGAAAATTGGTTCTAAGTTCTAAGTATTTCATAACATTGAAATATATACCGATCTTCAAATTGAAAACACCCAAGTTATGAGAATTTTTGTAGATAAAAAGTTGTTGGTTAAGATAAAATGAAGCTATTCACAAAGTTTTGTACGAGTGTTATAACAATTTGATAAAAATAATTACTATGTACCGAGGAATATCAAGTTAGTTAGGCACCCAAAATGAAATCCTTTGATTAATGATAAATTGAATAAAACGGATTTCGATGAATTTTATATGTTTTCTTTTGGTATGATTATGAAGAACAATATTTGTCTCTCTGTTGTATCAAAACAAAAGAAAAAGATGAATGTGTTTTATTTTCCTTTTATTTCCAATGAATTATAGTTGGATTAGAGTGCAGTTTATCTGGAAGTTTTTGTCTTTTTTAAATACAGATAACTCATTTTTCCATGTATTTTTAAAAGTTTTTATAATATATTTAAATTTAAAATTGGTAATTGGTTGACTGTCGTGGATAATGAAGAGAACAATAGATGGGGTGGTCAGTCAAAAAGGAAGGCAAAAATAAATGATAATATTTATTTTTACATATGCCGACGTTTCGACCTGAAGATCAGGTCTTCTTCATCAGGGCTAAGAAAATAACCAGATAACAAGGTATGAGAAACATAAATAAGATGGTAAAAAAAAAAATAAATAAAAAAAAAATAAAATAAAAAAAATATAAAAATAAAATAAATAAATATAAAGTAAAATGAAATTGTTAGAATAATGACTAAGAACTAAAAGATAAATAATAATAATCGTTACAAAGTGTGGATTGATGAAGTAGGCATAATCAAAACGGGTGACGTAAGTGTTACAATGGGAATCTTAGAATAAAATGTAAAACATAAAAAAGAAATATGAAGTTATATAAGAAATAAAAAATAAATATTATCATCATAAATAAACAATAAAAATAAATATTATCATTTATGTTTGCCTTCCTTTTTGACTGACCACCCCAACTATTCTTCTCTTCATTATTTAAATTTAATTTTTTTATATTACTTAATGGCAATGGTATATCGCTATGTATTACTTAGTTTAAAAATAAATAACTTTATTTTCTTTATTATAAAACTTTATTCATAAATTTTTCACAAACCATAAAATAATGAATTTAACAAAGACAATTATATTTTTAACATTTTACTGTGTTAAATGCTCGAAAAAGTTTTAGGCACCTCGATGAAGAATAAAAACATTTGTTTTGATTATATTTCAATTAGGAATGTATCAAATAGAGGATTTTTTAAATTATTATAAACCAATTATTTATTAATAAATCATACATTTGTTACAGATATCAGTCTCATTCGTAAAGCTCACTGTGAAGAGTTTCCTACTACTAAAACAAAACGCATCAAAGAAAAGTCAGATTTGGTAATCTTGTGTTTTTTTTCTGTTTACAAAAAATTTACTAAGGAATACAATATTTTTGTCAGCACATCATTTTGGAATGTAAAGTTATTTTTTTTTTTGCAGAAATGGCTAAAATAAAACTAGAAGCAATTGAATCTGCAACGAAAAATCTAAAACTATTATTGACAGTTTCCACCCACATCCTTTCAAATAGACTTTATTCACTATTTACGTTTATAAACGCGACTCTAGGATTCTGCCTTCTAGGATATTCTGTTTACTATTTTCGTAATAGTTCTGAGGAGCTTGCTCAAGTTGTCTATTATATGGGAATAAGCGTAGCTGTGATCGTTGCAACCGTCATTGGATATCTGCCTGAGTATAGATCCCGTAATGTACTTGAAGGTAAATATCAAATTACTATAAATAAAATTTAGTATTTATAAATAGTAGTGTTTTTAAACCTAAAAAAAGTGCTCCAAAATGAAAAAAAAGATATAAACGAATTTAATTAATCCTGTGAAAAATCTCTTAACATGAACCGTAGTCTGAAATGGAACATTATACAGTTCATAGAAATATAAAAAGTTCTATATTTGTTATATAAAAAAAATAATAATAAATGTTATGAAAAAGTATATTTATTTTGTTTTTGAAGATTCGTCTACAGATAAAATATATAAAATTTTGTATAAAGAATAAATAGTAATAAACTATAAACACAACTGAATATATTTGGGTGGATACATAAGTTCGTTCGCTTTTTGTTAGTAATGCGAATTGTTTTCAAATATGTCCATTTCTTTTTGCCTTATCTGACAATAATGATACTTATCGGAAAGGTTTACGTCCGCTCTTCGAAACTTTTGTGTTTGGTTTCATTGGCATTAGTTTTGTTTGTGCTACAGCGTAGTGAATATGTCCTATGATAAAGTGAATTTTTGGCATTTTTTATTTTTAAAAAGGCAAGCGAGCTTCGTAGACCCACCCAAAAGATATGTAAGATATACGGTGACGATATCTTAACAGAACGTACTGCTCAAAAATGGGTTGCTTAATTTGGTTGCGGAGTGTCTCAAAGATGCTCCCCGCAGCGGTCGGTCCACTGAGGTCGATTCAAGTAATATCAAGACTCAAATCGAACAAGACCGGTCGCTAAAGGTACGAGAAATTTCGGAAACACTGAAAATATATTTTGGAACCGTTCAAAGGCATTTAATACAGATTGGCTACGCGTCCCGCCTGAATGTTTGGTGGTCACGTAAACTAACTGAGGCAAATCTGACCAACCGAATATCAATCTGCAACTCTCTTCTGAACCGGCACAAAACGGATCTATTCTCAATACAATAGTGGAGGGTGGATCATCCACGACAATTTATTGCGCAGGAGAGGGTGGACAATCGTGACGGCCGGCTAATTCCACCCCGAACTTCGAAAAGATTTTTCTCTCTATATAGCCAAATTATCGCGCCCTGCTGTATTGATAGTTGCTTTCACAAGGAAAAAGGATTGATTCGAAGATCTACTGCATGCAGGTAACGAAATTGGACCAAGCATTGCGACAGAAAAGCCCAAAACTAGTCAATTACAAAGGTGGTTTATTCAACCGTAACAACGCCAGACCAGACTCGCAATAATCACACAGTAAACGTTAGTGCGACTTGGCTGGAATGTTATATTACATCCACCGTATTCAGCAGATCATGTACCATCGGATAACTTCTTATTCCGGTCCCTCCGAAAATCCCTCAACGGGAAATCTTTTGCTGATGAAAGAGATGTAAAAACGTAACTCGATCAGTTTTTCGCTTCTAAGTCCCACATGTTTTACAATAGCGGAATAATGAAATTGTTAGAAATATGGCAAGAGGTCATTTATAAAAACGGCAAATACTAGAATAAAATTTATTCTTTATATGAAAAATAAAACATGTTTTATTTCATCTTTCAAAAACCGAACGAACTTATGGATTCACCCAATATTTCAACTAAAGTTCACTTTTCATAAGACATTCCTTAACTATCACATTCGTTTTTAAATCATCTGTTATAACTTAATATCTTATTGGAATCACATTGTCATAACTCTTAATTAGTGTTTTGTCGAGGAAATCGGCAACATATATTTTAACGAGTGGAAAATAAATTTAAGTAGGGATTTGTCCAATTACAATACAAGATTGGTTAAAACTGTAAAAAATTGGACTTAATCAAGACAAATCCGATTTACTTTTCGAAAAAACATCAAGCCTCCAGTTTGACATCCAAAATCATCAAAAGGGCTTAACACTTTATCTTGGAATTACCTTCGATAGAAAAATAACATAGGGTCAATTTGTAAAAATGAAACGAAAGACACTTAACGACTCAAACTACTCTACGCTTTTTTCTAAATAATCAAAAATGAAACTGAGACAGAAACTGAACACAAATATGTACTTATTCAAGCCCATACGGATATACTCATCCAAGATAAACCTTATAGCTAATAGACCTACTTACAAAAACTTGAAACCTTCCAATCAAAATTATTGCGACTCATAACAAAAGCAACGTGGTACGAGACTAACAAAACTCTTCATACTGACCTCTACCTTCCAAAACTTTACCAACGGTTTTATACAAATTTAAACGGACGTAACAACAAATTAATAAGAGATATGGCAACGGCTGATATACCCCTGAATATGAGAAGAGGTGTAAAAAGGCGTTGGATGAAAGATCTCCTTTCTTAAACAACCTAAGTAATTGAAACAAGCCAGGGAAGAGATGCGGATGTGTACTTTCCTACAGCTGTGTACACATATCATTATTTCTTGAATTTCAGCTAACTTTGTTCACTTATATTTTTCATATTCTATTGTAAAATTCCGTTATTTTAAAGAAATCTAAGGATTTCCGCATCTCATGTATCCTTTAACATTTCTTGGATACTTTCGTACATTTAAAGTTCCTTCCTTACGATCGCATAACGTGTACAGTCCACGAGTATATAGTTCTAGAAGAATCGCATCTGAGTCAGGTGGTTCTCGATGGTGGAGTAGGCAGCCGTGCCAAATTTCGCAGTGACCAATTACTAAAGCCGCGTAGGGTTATTTCTTCTCTTCTTGATATTCTTTTACTCGGGCACAATTTGGTTTTCTCTGAACTAGTTTGTAGATTTCTTTTCCAGGTATAGAACCAAGCAGTTAAATGAATCTTAATGCACTAATTAACTTTCCTAAATTAAATAAGTTTTATATATGGTTCGACACCTAATATTAAAGGATTACCTAATTATGTTAGTAATAGGACACTGGATTATGATTGTAATCGTTTAATCATGTAATAAAATAACTGAAATCGTTTTACGTAATAATAATTACTGAATCATGATCGTTGATTATGATTATGCTCATCTATTATAAAAAGTAATTGAGTGTAATCAAAATTCTAATTTTTGATTTTTTTTAGACAGTTATTACTCATATGATTATCAGAGCTCAATCATGAGAAAAAAACTTGATCAAGTGAAGGGAAGCTGTGTCAACAACCTGAGAGGATTTTTCAAGACGATCGTATTTCTCATTGTCTGGGTCTCTTTCAATCTGACTGCAATGACAATAGTCGTAGGATTGGTTCAACAAGAACCGATATATCTCTTTCCTGTTTGGCATCCATTCGACATCAATAATCTAGTTTTTCAAATTATCATACTCCTATGGCAGCAGTATTTTCTATCAACTATGATTTTTATGGCATTTGGTGGAGGCTCAATGTTATACATACCTTACGTTCATATCAAATCTGAAGTGAATCTTCTGAAGTATGCTTTGAGAAAAATCGAATCCAGAGCTCATGAAATGGCTCGAAAACGGAAAGCTTTTAGAGACGCATCGATTAAAAGTAAAGTGCTGTCGGAATGCTATAAAAAATGCTTAAAAATGTGTGTTGAACACCATTTAGAAATATTGGGGTAAGTTCAGTAAAAGTGATCTAATACTATATTATGTTTTTACATTGCAAATGAACTTTTTAATTTTAATTTTCAGATATTTTTACAGAGGAAAGCGATTGACAGGAATCATATACACAACTGGTTTTTTCAGTGGTGTCATAGCTTGTACATTTGGTGGATATAATATAACTTCAGTAAGTAAATACATACACGTTTTCATAAAAATTCAGGTATTCTGATTAATTATTATAAGTGGCTAAAGTATCAAATTCAATCACTGAAATTGCAATTTATAATCTTTAGCTAAATCAGAAATTAACGTGACGTTATATAGATTTATAAATCTGTATCAAAACTAAAACTACAACAGGCGAATGTGAACTATGGTTAACTAACTTAAAAATATATGAACAAAAACTACGCATTGGATATAGAACTGGCATTTCTATCTAGAAGAATTATTATGAATCAAAAAATAAATAAGGTTAGAAACTCGGAGGTTTGGGGGGATATGGAATTTCCTATGTGAGGAAACTGCCGTGCTTAGGCGAATACTGTAACACACTTCAAAATTACCAAAACAATTCTCGAAAGCTTTTGAGCTAGTTTGAGCTAGATGAGATAGTCTGATAATCAAAATGTAGAAAAAAACTGTTTGGTTATTCAGAAGAATGTATTAGTTTAAAAAACGAAATTTTTTTTTCTGATATTTTGATTATCATTACTGTTCTGGAATTAATAAACTTTATATTTTATAATCATATTGCCGTTCACCTAAGAACTGCTCGATAGATTTGGACTTATGTAACATAATTGATTGATTAAATTATTAATCAAGTAATAAGAATAAAGAAACACTGCAGCGGTAAACTTAGATCGGAGGACAATGATTAATAATAAAGACCATCTGAAGAGTATACAATTTATCAAAACCGATATGTTTTCTTAAGTAATTTTAAATATTGTAAAAGTGAACATATAATATTTTAAGTTTAAATTTTCTTAGCATATTAATTTATTTTTTCATGGCCTAGGAAAACTTGGCACTCAAATTGAAAAACCTGGCAATATTATTCTTCATACTCGGCTATCTTTTCGCCATGTTTTGGATAGCTGATGCAACTACTACTGAAGTAAGTTTTGATGTTTTTTATATATATATTTTTTTTTATTGAAAAAATATTATACTCTGTCTCCAAGGATATAATAGTGTTCAGAGATCACATTCACACTCTATGTACAATAAATAAAATAAATTATACAGAAACATAATATATATACAATAAATAAGAATAAAATAACCTAAAAATAAATAAATAAAAAGAACACATACATACCTATATACAATATTTTTATAATTAATATAATTTCAAGAAAAAAAAAATTATCTCCCTCGGTACCTCTCGGTATTAAAACAAACAAATTTTCTGGCACGGATCTCATTACCGCGTAGAGAAGTGTCCCACGTCTGGAGGGTATGGGGATGGTTGGTGAAAATTCCTTGGAAGTTCTTCCTGGCCAAGTCCGATGGATTCTCTGTCCAACAATGAAAGCGGCTCGCTGGAATGTGTGACGTATATTGAAGCAAAGTATACAAAATAAAAAGAATTCATATCAAAAAGGCTGTTCTTCTAGGAAAGGTTTAGAGGTCTCTCTCCTCGCTTTATTTTGGTATACACTCACCTGATCATTAATTATTGAGGGACCAAAGGTCCCTAAATTCCTAGATGTATTGGCTTGGGAGAAATGGAAGATAAATTTAAGATTGGGTGGAGTGTTTGCTGGTACTCAATTTTAATGTCAGCAATAGAAATCATCACAACAATGGAATAACCACAACCTCAATTTGAGTAACTTCACTCAGCAATCATGCCTAATTTTAGATTCCATTTTTCCAAAATTGATGAGATCAGCTTCGAGTGATGCATTTCTTGGTCTGCAATCATTAATGACCATCATTTCTCTTATCAAAGCTATGAGAGAAGTCCCGGTGATGTCCATAATGTTTAAGAATTACTAAATAATAGGATTAAGGGCGAAGCATCGATGTTCCTTTTCCAGCAGTGCAGTATTTTTGATATGTATATGTATATTTTTTTACATCGAGAACATTTATACAACGAAGTTTTGTTTTTAAATTTAGGGAACATCACTCTTATTTTTTTGTTCATTGATGAACATCAACAAAAATTCGAGTTTTTGGAATATCGCATAAGGCTAGGAATTTCGCTAGAAGGCTGCAAATGTGTGTTATTTTTCTGTTACAAAACTACTTAGCTCGTACCTCGTATCCCGAAACATAAAAATTAGAATTTACAGAACCAATATACTTGACAATTCTTTATCGATGCGAAAGGTGAGCGCTAACATTAAGGGATGAGCAAAAACGTAAGGTTTTTGAAAATAAAGTACCGTGCAGAATATTCGGACCGAAGAATGCTAAGTTGACCGGAGAATTGTGGAGATAAGACAATGACGATAGCGTAAACTGAACCGATTTAATTTTATTGAGGTGATTGCAATGCGGTGAATAAAATGAGCAAGTAAAATTGATGGGCTTAGTAACAAAAGTTAATATGCATTGTGTCTATCTGAGAAGCGTCCGAGAGGTAGATCAAAGCGAAGGTGGGAGTATTGCGTTTAACTCCCTTCCCTTCGTAGATCCACCGCTGATCGGTATGGAACCTTCGGGATTCGCTAAGAGTTTTCATTATTATTATAATTATTCTATAAATAAGACAACTGAATCTAAGCAGAAGCGAACCAATCTACAAAATATGAGAAAAATGAGTCAGACATATTTTTTTATGAGATTAGTGCTTACTATCTCCAATAGAAAATAACCGTATCTTGGTTCAGGTACCTTAAATAGAAAATCGAACTTTATAAAAACATAATGATAATTTTTATTTATTTAAACAAAAAGTTAAAACTAAGTTAATGTTTGATAAATCTATTGATATAATAGCAATATTTTTGGTCTTATTAAAGTTAGTGTAAAATTAGGATGGTTACAAAAACTAAAGTTCACTTATTTGAAAGCTTCCAGATTTTCAACACTATTTAACTTTGACTTGAGTTTATTCAACACATGTGTGATGTGGATTGGATCTCTTTTGCTTGATGCAATACAATTAGTGTTTAATATAACCAAAATATTAATACAAATATTAAACAAGTAATACAACGTTGCATATTATAGTTCCTGACGATTGCACAAACAGTGTTTGAAGTGAAATGGTACAATTTGCCCAAGGATTGCCAGTCTACTCTACAGTTCATGTTGTTTATGTCAAACCAACCGCTATTTTATAAATTGGTACTTGGACAAAAAGTAAATATGGAAGCATACATGTCAGTAAGTATCTCTTTAGATTAAGATTAGATTGAGTAAAATATGTCGAAACTCTGAAGGATCATATGACTAATCTCCCAAAAAATAAACTCGATTATCATTGTCAATTTAAAAAGTAGTTAAGAAGATCAAATGACATATAATGCTTATTTCAATTAAAAATTGAAATAATAAATAATATATTTATTTCATCAATGGCTATTATGATATATATATATATATATATATATATATATATATATATATATATATATATATATATATATATATATATATACGTGTGAAAAATGTTTCAGTTACATTGTCATACAATGCTAAATTAAATAAAATAGACATTTTATTTTTTCACAAACTAAATATATAAATTGTGTACTTTAAAGTAATTTTATAGCTACTAAATCGGGAAAAAAAGTTTTATTTAAATTTTAAGTTTTTAAAATAAATAATTATGTATCAGTTTATTTTATTTTTAATAAATATTTCATCTGTTTCAGTTGGTGAAAGCTACGTACTACTATCTTAATTTTTTAACAGCATAAGGAAACAGCTAGAATAGAATATATTTTTGTAAATAAACTTACATTGATAACTTAGGTTTTATTTCTTTACCTTCTACTCACATTTTTATAAATGCATAATTTTTAAGTAAAGGAATATGTAAAAGTAACTAGTTGGCCTGTGATATGATTCGCATAATATGAAGTGAGCAAATGGAAACATGATTTGGAAATACATAAGCAAAAATCATAAGAGGGAAGTACAAATTTTTATTCTTTCTTTATTTATTTTATTTTATATTATATTTGCAACTGCGTTTTTGGACGCATCTAGCAAAAGTGCTGCCGTTCATTTTGTCTGCTATTTATTAAAACTGTGTCCATATTGTGAGCAGATCATGGGCCCACTGTATTTTTAGTCTTCTTTGAGGATCCCCTAGTAACAGAGAGGAAAAAAGAGAGAGAGGACAAGTGGATTAGGGTGATTAATAGTTGAAGTGTGGAATGTTGTGTATTTGTCATGTATGTAGGTTTTTACTGTTAGAATGTTCATGTCGCTGTTTTGGAATATACCAGGGTACATTTACGATTTTACGAAGTATTTTGGATTGTGCAGTTTGTATTTTGTTTGTGTGGACGTGTTTTGCGGAACCACAATGTTCTACTTCGTATGTACAAATAGTTCGTAGTATGGTGGTGTAGATTAGTCGAGTATTTTGTAAGTTGAGAGAAAATTTGTTGTCCAAAAGATGTGAAGTTGTTTGTATCGTCTGGTCAGTTCTTGGTTTTTTAATTGGTGTGTATGTTCTAGGTGAGTTTTTGTTCAAGTATAGTCCGAGATATCGTACATGAATTTTTGAGGGAACTGGCTTATTGTCTATTGTCACTGCTGGACACAAAATCTTCCTCAGGAAGAAGCTCACATGACTCGACTTGCCTCCATTAACTTTGATTCCCCATTTGTTGAACCATTTTTCTAGGTCATGGAGGTGATTTTGGAGGGCTACTGAAGCAATAGTAGGATTTTTGTTGGATGAAATAATTGCAGTGTCGTTACCGAAACTACGGAGGGTTTTCATTTTAAACAAAATGTTTGTAAAAATTAAAGTTTGTTGTATCCTTGCAAAAATTGTCTGATTTCGCTGATTTTTTTTTCATATTGTAGGGACTTTGAAACATTTCAAATTATTATGGGTATAGTCCTGTATCTTTTCTATATTTTTTTTAGATGTGCAAAAAAAATTTCCTTTTCCTTGTTACTTTTCCGTTTTTTTCTGGAGAATGTGCTGATTTATCCCACCGGAAGGAGTAGATAATCTTTAAATTGATGGATGGTTTGATCATTAGATTCGACGAAGAACTAGCAGAGATATGTTCTACTGACAAA